TTATCTCTAAATTTCGAACAGAAACTTTTATTTTCACGAAGTTGCCAAGGTCTGTAAGGGGGGGGGGGGGCAATGTGCATGTAATGTTCTTTTCGGATGCTATGGTCTGTAAGGGGGGCCTGTCTGTAAGGGGAGGGGGAGGAGCTGCAAAACCTCGAACTTAAAACTTACACTCACTATTTTCTTCGAAAATATATGTGAGTTCCACAAAATGCAATCTTACAGGAGATTATTGAACGGATTAAAGATATTGAAATTACAGTTACTAAAGCTAACTCAAAATATTATGATACTGGTAGAGCGTCGAAAAAATTATTAGATGGTACTTACGTTCTCCAAATCAATGAAACATTATTTGAAGATTGTGCTAATGCCTATGTGAAAGCATTGGTACTAAATCAAGCAAAATTACGATTCGTAGTCTGTGTTTGTCATGAATTTGTATATCACAAAATGCACAAATATTTTCTAAATAACAAATGGAAAAAAAGAGATGAAAGAATTCCATCAGAATTATGCAAATGTGGTTTTTATTGAGAAAATCAGATGATTGGTGGTCGTGTAATCAACACCGATAAAAGTATCTATACATTACTACCAAACGTTCAGCAAAAATTGATCTTTAAGAAGATTCATGTATATTTTTTATGAATAAAGAAAATTACGGTGATGAAAAATAGTGATACTTATTCTCGAATACAAAAACAACATTAACAACAAGTATAATCAACATTTTCTGCCAAAAGACCAATTGAAAATTTGTATACTAATCTATACAGTACATAAAAATTAACGAAAACAATAGCAGAATCGTACTCAAAATATCATTTAGCTACAAACTATTCCCTTTTTGCTGAGATAATACTAATAGATAATGCTATTGCTTCCATTATATATCCAGATGTCCCTCAAAATTGTGGCGATTTACGTGCTTATTTATATAAATATGATGAAGATGCCGGTGACAAATTTACTGTTAACGAACATGAAAATGAAACTGATTGGATATGTACTGGTTTACGAAACGGACTTCGTGCCACATCGTTTGATGTACCTAATTATGTTATTATCAAAGCAAATGCATCGAAAACATTTACAATAAAATTAATGGAAATAACAATAGTTAACTAGGAGCAAGACGTGAAAAACACGGATCATTATTATTCAGAAATTAAAATGAATTATTAAATATAACCTACTGATTCCTATTATGCTGATGAAAAAACAACTGACTTTGATATAAAATATGACAATGGTCAGAAAAATGATGAAAATACTTACACTGTACGAGACGAAATGTCCATCTTAAAACAATAAACTTTCTATAGTCTTGTATTGTCAGACATACAGTGATACCTAAAGGGATCAACAAACAGCATGAATTTGTCTGGTGAATTCATATCTTGACAATTATATGAGTTATAATAGTCCAGTTTAATTCATATTGTAGCCCATAGCATCTAGTTTATAAGCATAAAATTTCAGATCCAGCCATCCTTCTGTTCTAGGATTACTGACCAAATACTTAAAAGATATGGTTTTAGACTGGTCCAAAAATGATCAACCATTTTGACTTAAAACCTTATTTATTGCATATCATTGGAAAGAGCAGACTTTTCTCTACAAGCTGAACTAATCTCCACTGCATTATCTTATCGAAAAGTCACTACTTAGGAGTAGTCCACAGAGCATGCTGGTAATGTAATGAGAGTCATTGAGACATGAAATATTTCATTTTCGTTCAAAAATGATTCTTGATTTTCAAGGTAGCCACTGTAAAATCATGAAAAGCTGTATTGGAAATAGCATTTTATAACGTATTTTATCTTGGGAACTGAAAATAGCAAAATTCTCTTGGGTATATCAACTGTGCCAATTTGTATAAGTTTTTTTTCTAGTTTACACAGGTGAATGAGGTTTAATATGTTTGCAGGCACTATAAATTGATTATCTTTCAAATTGACAGAAATTCGTTCCTCATCAGCATCGATTCCTTGAATAGGCAAGAAGTCCGAAAGCGAAATCCGTATGATACTAACAAGAAAAAACACAAGACCCAGAACGGATGTGGATGTGGGTGTGAGTGTGAGAAGAGAAGATGCCTACACCCACACTCTCACTCCAC